ATGACCGCCTTTGCTGCATCCCACATATTTTGGGCTGTGGTGTTATCATTTTCATTGGCTTTCATGTACTTTTTAATTTCCTCTTTAATTTCTTGGTTAGCCTATTCATTCTTTAGTAGGATGTTCTTTAGTCTCCAAGTATTTGTTATCTTTCCAAATTTTTTCTTGTGGTTGATTTCGAGTTTCATAGCGTTGTGGTCTGAAAATATGCACAGTATGATCATGATCTTTTTGTACTTGTTGAGGGCTGATTTGTGTCCCAGTATGTGATCTATTCTGGAGAATGTTCCATGTGCACTGGAGAAGAATGTGTATTCTGCTGCTTTAGGATGAAATGTTATGAATATATCTGTTAAGTACCTCCAGTCCAGTGTGTCATTCAACACCATTGTTTCCTTGTTGATTTTCTGTTTAGATGATCTGTCCATTGTTGTAAGTGGGGTGTTGAAATCCCCTACTATTATGGTATTATTATCAATGAGTTTCTTTATGTTTGTGGTTAATTAATTTATATATTTGGGTGCTTTCATGTTTAGAGCATAAATGTTTACAATTGTTAGGTCTTCTTGGTGGATAGACCCCTTAATTATGATATAATGCCCTTCTTCATCTCTTGTTACAGTCTTTATTTTAAAATCTAGATTGTCTGATATAAATATGGCTACTCTGGCTTTCTTTTGTGACTATTAACATGATAGATGGTTCTCCATGCCATTATTTTCAATCTGAAGGTGACTTCAGATCTAAAATGGGTCTCTTGTAAACAGCATATAGAGGCATCTTGTTTTCTTATCCATTCTGTTACCCTGTGTCTTTTTATTGGAGTGTTCAGCCCGTTGATATTTAGAGTGGGTATTGAAAGTTATGAATATATTGCCATTATGTCACCTGTAGAATTGGAGTTTCTGGTAGTGTTTTTTGGTGCTTTCTAGTCTTTGATGCTTTTGGATTTTGGGGGTTTTGGGGGTTTTGGGGTTTTTTTTTGGTTTTTGCTTTTGTTTTTGTTTTTTCATCTTTTCTCCCCTCAGAGAGTCCCTCTTAAAATTTCTTGCAGGACTCGTTTGGTGGTCACAAACTCCTTTAATTTTTGTTTGTCTGGGAAACTTTATCTCTCCTTCCATTTTAAATAACAGCTTTGCTGGATAAAGAATTCTGGGCAGCATATTTTTCTGATTCAGCACATTGAATATATCCTGCCATTCCTTTCTGGCCTGCCAAGTTTCTGTGGCTAAGTCTACTTCATACCTGATTTATCTTCCCTTGTAGGTTAAGGACTTCTTTTCCCTTGCTGCATTCATGATTCTTTCCTTGCCTGAGTATTTTGTGATCTTTGACTATGATATGCCTTATTAATGGTCAGTTTTAGTTGAATCTAATGGGAATCATTTGTGCTGCCTGGATTTTGATGTCTGTGTGTTTCCCCAGATTAGGAAAGTTTTCTACTATGATTTGGTCACATAAATTGTCTACCATTTTTTCTCTCTCTTCATCTGGGACCCCTATGATTCTGATGTTGTTCCTTTTTAATGAGTCACTGAGTGCTCTAATTTTTATTTCATCTCTTTGCCTTAGTCTCCCTCTTCTTTTCTGCTTCATTATTCTCCATAAGTTTGTCCTCTATATTGCTGATTTGCTGCTGTGCCTTATCCATCCTTGCTACTGTGGCATGCATTCGAGATTGCAGCTCAGTTATAGCAATTTTTATTTCATCCTGACTAGCTTTTACTTCTTTCATCTGTGCAGAAAGGGATTTTAATCTATTTTCAATCCCAGCTAGTATTCTTTTATAGTGATTCTAAATTCAAGTTCAGACATCTGCTTATATCTGTGTTGATTACATCCCTGGCTGTCATTTCCTCCTGTTCTTTCTTTTGAGGTGAATTCTTTCATTTCATCATTTTGGAGGAATAAAAGGAATTAATATGGTAAAAAAATTAAAAACAACACAAAGAAATCAAATAAAAGGTACCAGATCCTAGGTGTGTTTTGGTCTGGTTGTTGAAAGAAGCTTGATAGATTAGAGAAAAAAGGGAAAGATAAGAAAGGAAATAAAAGATAAAAGAAAAAAGGGAAAAAAGGAAAATGTTTGAAAATTTGAAAAAATAGAATAAAATGAAATGATGAAAGTAAAATATAATTTTAAAAATTTACAAAAAAGTAAAAAATGTAGTAGAACAAAATTAAGGAAAAATCTTTTTAATAAAAAGGGAAGATAATAGATTTTTCGCTTTCTGTATTCAAGAAAGAAAAAGAAAAAGAAAAAGAAAAAGAAAAAAAAATTGAATAAAAGGACCAGTGAACAGAATGAAGTACGATTGAAATTACATCTGTTTTCCCATAGATGTCAAGCTATGAAGCACTTTATAGTCCATAAACTAAGCAGGTGGAGAGACTTTGTCAAGAGCATTGTAGGCCCAGTTGGGTGGGGTTTAGTGCAATGGTTCCATTCTCCACTAGATGGTGCTGCTTAGCTTACTGGGGTGGATTGCTGGGGGCACTTGTAGGCAAGAATGCACATACTCCGGAGGGATGAAAATGGCATTGCCCAGCTACCAAGCAGTGTTTCAGTGTTTATGGAAAATCACAGCACACATCTGGTGCCAGGTATCACCCTTGACATCCTTGTTCCAACACCAGCGAATGTGGTTGTTCCCTGGGGTGTGCTGGAACCTATGATTGTGGGGTGGCCACACAGCCTCTACCAAATGTCCTCCCAGCAGGGGAACTGCCTCTCCCCGTATGGCCCAAGGGCCACTTGGACCTCATTCTCTCCTCCTGTGGATTCACTCTTCCCACCAGAGCACCACCAGGTATGAGCTGTGGACTTTCAGACTTTGCACTCCCCCTGTTTATAGAGTCTTAATGGAATTTAAACCTCTACTTTCTCTTTTCTCCCTTTTTTTGTTCAGTCCTTGTAGCTGTTTCCACTTTTCCACTTTCTCTCCATCTGCTTTGGGTTGGGGGGTGCTTTTCCCATACTCTCCTCCACCCCCCCACCCTGTCTCTGTTCTCTTTCTGCAAGCAAAAACAGCTCCCTGCCCTCTGCGGCTTCTCTTTCCCCCAGTTCACCTCTCCCCACTGCATACCTGCCAAATTCTATGGTTCAGGTTGTGCAGATTGTTGTGTTAATCCTCAAATCAGTTTCCTAGGTGTGCAAGATGGTTTAGTGTTGATCTGGCTGCATTTCAGGGATGAGAGATGCAAAAAAAAAAAAAAAAAAAAAAAAAAAAGCAAGGTGCTTACAGTTTTAACAATTATTAAAATTGTAATGAAAATGTATTTTAATCTGCAAAATTTGAATTAATTCTTAGCAGAATTAAGATTCCTTAGTCAACTTTCTCAGTAACTTCAGTAACTATAAAATTGAGTTATGTTTTGTAGGACTCTCTTATCATATTAACAGATGTTTACATTCCAATAGCAATTAAAAAAATTTTTAATGTTTATTTTTGAGAGAGAGAGACAGAGCATAAGAGGTGAGGGATAGAGAGAGAGAGGGAAACACAGAATCTGAAACAGGCTCCAGGCTCTGAGCTGTCAGCACAGAGTCCAACGCAAGGTTCCAATTTAGGAATAGCAAGATCATGACCTAGGCCAAAGACAGATGCTTAACCAACTGAGCCACCCAGGCATCCTGTTCCAATAACAATTTTAATGTCATTTTACCTATTGCCACACTGATGCAAAAAGTACTTTGGGAATGAACTTATGTTCAATTCAATGCCCAATCCTGACAGCTTAAAGCTTTTAATTAAATTAAGGGGTAGGAAAGTGAGGCCACACGGTGGTTTAGCAACCAACTCATACTGTGGGCAACTGAAGGCTGCAACAGAGAATACACACCAAGGAGGGGTATTTATGGGTATTTATGTACCAGCTCCCTTGAGTCTTTGATTGAAGACTTGGTGGAGGGCTGTCCCTTAGAGCATTGACTCCATAGCACTGTGGTATGACAAGTGGATAGAAAAGTAGGGTCCAAGTTGAAGAGAACATTCTTGTGCAGAGACAGGCAGTTGGAATGCAACTGCTGAATGGCTGGTGAGCAGCTTAAATTGGAGACTCCTGGACTGAAACCCAGGTCTGACTGATGTCAAAGCCATGTTTTTCTAATTCAAATCTTCCCCCAAGTATTCCATGATTGAGTGAAATTTTAGATGGAGACCACAAGGTCTTTGGAATGGCACCTCTCTACATATTCCCCAGAGTGAGACAAGACTCTTTAAAATTAGCTGTAGGGGTGCCTGGTGGCTCAGTTTATTGAGCATCCAGCTTTTGATTTTAGCTCGGTTGTAATCTCAAGGGTGATCTCAACGTTCATGGGATGAAGTCCCCTGTTGGGCTCTGTGCTGACAGTGTGGAGCCTGTTTGGGATTCTCTTTCTCCCTCTCTCTCTCTCTCTGCCCCTCCCCCACTCACACGTGCATATCCTTTCTCTCTCAAAAGAAATAAATAAACATTAAAGAATCAGCTGTTAAATGTGGGCTTACTGTTCCTTGCTAAAGCCAAATTTTTGTAATCAGCTGAAATCGTATTACATACAGACCCTATTTTTACAGATCCTCCATTCTATAAGCTCTTTGTCACATGATATGTTCATGGTCCAAATGTGGAAGAAAACTGAGCCGGCAGCCCATTCTAGGTTCCAAGCAAAGTGCAAACATACATATTGTGTGAAAGAAGCAGCCTTAGTTAGAACTGAGCCAAGAGGGGTCATGCAAGTACTTCTCTATATCCTTCAGTTTTGATATAACAGCTAATCCCCTTCTGCTCCTCCCCAGGCCCTCCTCATGGCTTAGATGTGGCTGCTCTTTGGCAGACAGCTGTTACATGAAATTGCAAAATCTAAGCACATATTTGCTCACTTAATGTAAGCAACAGAGAAATAAATCTGAACTTTGGAAAAAGTCTATTAATAATTAACAGATAGTGAAATTATCAAGATATAGAATGCTATGCAGGAAAAAAAATCCCAAATCTTGGGTTTGGAATAAACTGTGAAAATGTTTACCCGGTTAGTTTGTATCAGTGATTATGAACAACATGCTAAATCAGTACTTCAGAAGTCTGTATATGACTATTACAGGTCTGGGGCAAATGATCAGGAAACATTGGCTGATAATGTTGCAGCATTTTCCAGGTAAGAAAATTTATTTATTTTTAAATCATGTTTTGTGTAATTACATGAAGACATTCTACCAAAATAAGACCTCAGGTTTTAATGTTGTTGATGTGAAATTATCCATCTAGATAGATGCTTAGTAGAGAGGGAACAATTCTTGGGGCTGTGAGAAATTTTGGGCTATCAAACTGTTTAAAAATATCCCAAGCCTGGGAATCTCAAACCATTGACTGAAAAAGCCAACCCTAATTGTCCTCACATGGAATTATGTGGATAATTAATTTGACTATGTATAAAAATAGTGATGCATTCTAAAGACTCTACTTTCTTTTTCTCTGAGTTGGACAGTGAGGGTCTATGAGCATGGTGTAGGAAGCGGTTAGCACTAGGTTCAAGATAGCCATCTTATCTGGTTGAACCAGATCGGATTGTTGCCTCAAATGTTCCCATCCTGCTGGCTTTCCCTTATCATTCATTTTGATTATTGTTGTCTCAACTTTCACTTTAGATTTCAATTTGTCTATATAACATTAATCTTTCAACGTTGCTGCTTCATCCATCATCCAAAGTGCTTCACCTACCTCTGTTTCCAAATTAGTTTTCCCTTGCCTTTCATATTTCAAAGCACAAGATGGTAGGTGTCACGGTTTATGTTTTCTGTTTGTAATAAAAACAATAAACAAAATAACTTTAAAGGAGTGTTTTTCTCTCAGCAGTTACAAAATGGTTTATTTGCTGGAGTAGGGGAGGAGAACCCTCCATACACTATACTCTCTCAAACTCATCCATCTTACATTATAGCCTTTAGTAAAGCTAGTGAATATTGTGGGTGTTCATTGATGGTGATAAATTAAAGAAAAAGGGTAGAAAATATCCAGAAGAAAGAATCTGCTTTCCTGCTTGGCTTCTTCTGTCTAGAGCAAAATCTCTCAAAAATCACTTTTCTATGTGTAAATTAGGAAAAATGAGATGATTCTAACCAAGGTGGTCCCTGGCAAACAGCACTGATGTACTCTCAGGAGTCTGAGAATGGGGTGAAGGATGGGGCCTCCCCCAAACTTCTCTAAGCCTTGACTTTGTCTCAGTTCTTCCCTGGAACCCACATGAGCTCCACCAATGCTGGAAGAGCCACAGAAAGGGAAAATTTGGCTAAGAGTGGAGGGGCTTAAAATTCTGTATGATCTTTTTCAATCATTTAACATTCTGGGCCTCTCCAAACTTTTCTGTTCCTGGAAGATGTCCCTTCCTGGGCCCAATAGCAGCTCCGTTCACCAGGTAATATGGCTTACTTCCTTGTAATCTCCTGAAAACAACCCTTTAACCCAAAAAGGTTATTTTAACCAAGGAAATTTCAGGCCCTTGACAGGTGTATGGAGTTGGTGTCTCCTTGCATTTCTTATGTCATAATGCTCAGGTGACCATCTATTTCCTCAAACCCCCTTTAACACCCTTCCGCTCATGCTGCTTAATTAATGGACTCATGCTTATTAGGAATCTCTATAGGCTAGGTTCTATACTACATGCTGAGGATAGAGCAATGAGCCAGACAAAGCTTCTGTTCACAGGTGCTTACATTCCAATGGATGCACATTGACCTTTGACTTCCATAATGCTGGTGGGTTGAATTGATGCAAAATGTACCCCGAACAACTGGCCTAGTAGAGGCCTTAAAGAGAGAGCAAAGGGGTGCAGCACATACAGGCACCTCTGCAACCCTAGAAATTCTGGAAGCTTTGTCAGACATGGAAGGCATTGTTGAGTTCCAAGTTGTGGACTGGAAGCATGCCTCATGCTTGTGTGGGTTTCATGGTACTCCAGTAAGTATTCCCACCCTGTGCATGTACTCAGTAACTTCAGGACAGAGCACAGATAATGAGAAAGAGTTTGCAATGCCATCCTTTCCATGCACCTTGATCTTTCCTTTTTGTTCAGCTTGAAAGGGAAAAAACATGGATTAATCAACTTTCTCTGGAGGTTGGCTGATGCTATTTTATGATCAACCACTTGAAGAGTTTTTATATTGCAACAAACGTTAGCGGCCATTGCTTATCTAACACCTCAATTCCTCTTTTCTTGTGTAACTTTCTGGGTGACCCTTCATTCCTCACCTTGTATCATTGAGCTGATCACATGGAACTAAGAATAGATTTTCTGCCAGAGTTGTGGTGGCTTTGGGTTGACGGGATGAAAGAAATCAATCTGAACTCTCTCATTCTGATTCAAATGAAGACTGCAAAACAACCAAACCTCAGATAACCTGTTGTGACACAGTGTCAGGGCATTTTAAAGACATTTATGAAATGTGTACACTTTCCCTCCCACAAGCACAACAAAAGGTCATTCACAGTGACAGCTGTTATCTCTCTGTGCTCAGCTCTGACAATCACATTTTTGAGTTTTGGGGATATGGCTCACTTATGTGACCTAGCAGTTGCTTGTAAACGTTTCTGGGGTAAGACTTGCGACTCTAATGTTATCGTGGCTAAAAACTGATAAAATAAAATAAAATACAAAAAGACACATGAAGTCAAATAGATGGAACCATACTGAAGAACAAAGTTACCTATTGTAAACATTTCGAGAACAGTAGGTGTTAGCTTGCAACATTTTGCATGATTGGAATCACCATGACCTGATTGGAGTTAAACACACACACACACACACACACACACACACACACACACACACACAGTATGTTGTTTCTCTTACACATTAACTCAGTGTATCCTTCTCAACCATGGTCTGCACTTTGTGGCTTCTGGTGAAATCATCACTAGTGGAAACTTAATTCTATAATTTGGGTGTCTAGAAGTCCTGATGAAGTTAGAAAATGAAGCTCCTTTCTTTTCTGTTGTGTCACTTATTGACACTGAAAATGGGGTGATTTTCTTTTACATAACAGGTGATAAAGTGATGTCATTATTCCTTTATTGCAGTGCCTCACAGGTTGATAGTGATCCAATTAAATGTTTTAAAGATGTCACGATATTAAGAATGAAGGGTAAAAAATAAGATTACAAGGGCGCCAGGGTGGCTCAGTCGGATAAGCGTCGGACTCTCAATTTCGGCTTGGGTCATGATCTCAATGTTCGAGAGTTTGAGCCCCAAGTTGGGCTCTGTGCTGACTGTGAAGAGCCTGCTTGGGATCCTCTCTCTTTGCCCCTCCCCTGCTCTCCTTCTCTCTCTGTCTCTCTAAAAAAAAAAACTTAAAAATGTTTTAAAAATAAGATTACAAAAATTGTGTTTTGTATACGTATTTACATACATTTTATTTGCTTTAAATAGTTTAAACAATTAATGTGAAGAAATTGGACTGCAGTATGATCATCTTACAGACTTATGAAACATTAATTCACTGTGTTCAGTTGATGGGATTCAGTAACAGCACTTGGCTTTACAGCTGGGTGATAAGTGTCTTCCTTCAAATACAGTATCCCATCTTGGGGAGTGTATACATCACCAGATTTTTTTGTAAATTAAATGTGAGGCTTTTGTTGGATGTGAAGGGTGGGTCAAAAGTTCTGTGAAAAGATCCCCACCTTTACCCCCTACTTCCTTTACTCAGTCATGTTATTTTCCATCCTTCGAAAGAGGTTTATTATTTGATTGGTTCAATTGTTTTATCCATCTTCATATCCTTTTTCCAAAGTGGAGGTCTCATAAGAGCACAGTCCAAGGTTACATTCAGCTACTATTTGATGTAAGACTGTGAAAAAAAAAAAAATCACTTCTATTCGGGGTGGAGTCAGGTGGGACTCGGAAAGCTATTGGAACTACTTGACAAGGTTAGTTGTAATAGTTCTTTGGAAAATATAAAAAAATGGAAAACTTTTTAGAGAACATACACTTCCCACTCCATCGATCTTATATAATTTTGCCTGAAACTTGCATTTTGTGCATTGGTTGGTGAGTCTCCGTAATGTCACCGTCAGAACAGAAAATAATGTGTGTGGGAAAGCCAAGAACACAGTTATTAAAGGGACTGCGCCACCATGTGGACAAGCATAAATAAAGCTACTGTCTGGAGATAGAAGGGTTGAGCCTTGCCTTCTACATAGGAATTAACATTTAACAATGTCCTTTCACACACACACACACACACACACACACACACACACACACACGATGCCCAGCAGCTCTGTGTGTGCTCTTCATAAAAGCTTTCATTGTTTCCTCAGCTCTAAGTAAATATTAATGCCTTCCAAGGCCAACAGCTGCTATTAAAATCGTTTTCTCTCATTCTCATAATACACTTAGAGATGATTGGTAATAAAAACTCTCTTCAAGGCTTCTGCCTTTCCCCCTTCAAAATGGAGATCAAAGAAGCATGCTGTGAGGGTCAGTCCAAAAGAAAAGACTTCCAGCAGCAAAGCATGTGGTGTGACAGAAAATAATGACAATTATGATGTTCAAAGGAATTGCAGAGAAATCACACAGTAAAACTTCTTTATTATGCTTTTCAAGGGCTGGATGTTTTTACTTTATTATGTGGGGAAGGGTTAGATTACAGACCCAAAGCAACATGAAGGCAGAATTTCTTCTTCCACTACAGGAAGTAGGCTCCAGTTAAGACCTTGGAGGTTCAATTTATTTTGGTTACTACATTTCTAAATCACACTTCAGTATATTAACTAAAAATCTTGTTCTCTCTGGAAGCAAAGTAAAATCTAGGTAATAAAAGGTGAGGGCTGGTTAGGTATGTTTGTATGTGTTACACACATGTTTGTTTCTTAGTGCTCATTAGAAAGACGGCTTCTTCAGTTCTAATGAGTTACTAATAAGAAAAATAATCCTGAACAAATAGGACATATAAATTTCGCTGAGAGGAAAGAGAACTTGTTCTCCTGTAAATTTTACTAGTAAAGTTTTTGGTTCTTGGTTTATTGATAGTTTTCATTACAACACAAAAGAATTGCAGGAAAAGTCATTTAAGATCGTGTTCAGGAGTCAAAAATTCTTCAAGCCAAAAGTCCAGTTTCTACCAAATACCCTTTTAGAAGAAAATGCACAATTAAACTAAAAAGAATTATCTTCCCTCATCACCATACTTCAGTGGATACTGACTTCCGTTTAAGAATTTTGAAGAAACCACATTATAATTTTATTTTTTTAAGTTTTTTTTAATGTTTACTTAATTTGGAGAGAGAGAGACAAAGAGAGACAGTGCAAGTGGGGGAGGGGCAGAGAAGGAGACACAGAATCCAAAGCAGGCTCCAGGCTCTGAGCTGTCAGCACAGAGCCTGACCTGGGTCTCAAACTCACCAACCATGAGATCATGACCTGAGCCGGCATCAGATGCTTAACAGACTGAGGCACCCAGGCACTGCACCACATTAAAATTTTAAAAGTAATTACCTGAAGTTACTGTTATTTGAAAAGGAAAACAAAAAACAAAAAGGACAAACTGTACATAATATATCTTTTTTTTTAATTTTTAATTTTTTTTGAGAGAGAGCAAGTGCACAAGTTGGGGAGAGAGGCAGCAGGGGAGGGAGAGAGAGAGGGAGAGAGAGAGAGAGAGTGTGTGTATGTGTGTGAATCCTAAGCAGGTTCCACTCTCAGTGAGGAGCCTGACTCAGGGCTCAATCCCACAACCTTGGGATCATGACCGGAGCCAAAATCAAAAGTCAGATCCTCAACCAACTGAGCCACCCAGGTACCCCTCTTCTTAAATTATAATCTAATCCATGTTTTTGTATACCATCTTCAAAATGACCTGGAGGAAGTGAAATGAAAGCTATGTTCACACAAAAACATTTACATAAATGTTTACAGCAGCTTTATTTAAAATTGCTTCAAACTGGAAATGTTCCAAATATTTCTTAGCTGGGGAATGGGCAAACAGACTGTGGTGCTTCTGTACAGCAGAATATTGTTCATCAACCAAAAGGAACAAATTATAGATGCACATGGCAACATGGATGAATCTCAAATGCACTGTGCTAAGTGAAAGAAGGCAGACTCAAGAGGCTACATACTTTATGATTCCATTTATATGTTCTTGCGAAGTAAAACTATATGGACAGAAAAAATACCGGTGGTTGTGAGAGGGTTGGTGGGAGACAGAGTTTCACTGCTAAGGGAAATGGGGAAATTTTTAAAGATGGTGAACTGTTCTTGATTGTCTTGGCACTTATACAACTGCATGCATTTGACAAAGCTCCCCAAACTGGACACTCACATGGGTGAATCCTACATACGTTAACTACACCTCACTAAGAAGGATAGCTTGTGAAATTCATTATTATCTTATTGCTAACATGCTATCTTAACAAGCATTGAAATTGCCCCTTTCCTTCAATTTTGTTATTTGCTGGGTGGGAAAAATACAAGAATATTTTCTCTTTTTAAAGTAAAATGTAATGTCAAAGCCTTGGTTATGCTTTTAAAATTCTGAAACTCTTTTTTAAAAATTCTAGATGGAAGCTGTATCCGCGGATGCTCCGGAATGTTGCTGAAATAGACCTGTCGACTTCTGTTTTGGGACAGAGGGTCAGCATGCCAATATGCGTTGGAGCTACTGCCATGCAGTGCATGGCTCACGTGGATGGGGAGCTTGCAACTGTGCGAGGTAGGAAGAAAGTCCTCACTCAAAAGGACAGAAGAGCACTAACATTTAGTGACTCTTTTCTGTGTATGCATCAAGCAAACACTTCCCTATATATGTTTATACTCACAAAAGCTAAGCTCATTGACTCTGCCATTAATATACCTGTTTTTGCACCTTCTGCTCCTCTATTTTCTAGCTGTATGACTCTGGGCAAGATACTTGTGCCTCAGTTTTATCAGCTGCAAGATAGGGATAAAAATAGTACCCACCTCCTCAAGTTACTGTCAGGATTAAATGAGTTTGCACAAACAAAGCACTTAAAATAGTGCCTTGCACACAGTGGTGGTTCAATAGCTTTTAGTTATATTATGTGTATTAATACCCATATTTCAGAAAATGGAGGTCTGAGAAATTGACTTGGCTCACCCATGGTCATACAGCAACATAGTGGCAGAGATGGGATTCAACCTCATGGCTACCTTATTTCAAAGCCCTTCCTGCTTCCCCAAACCATGTGAGTCTCACAGGGAAACAGCAAATGCAGTGACCTGGTTGGTTGCATTTTCTGCCATGGCTTTGGACCATGATTCTGTTTTACGAATGGGTTAGATTCCCAATAGAGCATTTCTAACTGCCTTAGGAGAGAGAGATGAGAAATTCAAATATGATGTAAAGAAATTCCTTCTTAGGGCTAATTTATTAACTTTCAGTCCCCTAGCAACCATGAACATTTGAAAAGGTATGTACAGTGATAAATCTACCCACCCCCCCCAACTTCAAAACCTCCTATAAAACTCCTATCTGACTTCTTTTGATACTAAGCAGGGCAGGAAATTCAGGCCCAAGGAGCGGGAACTAAATACTATTTTAAAGCATTTCAGTTCTAAGTATTACCGATCTTATGGATTTACTTCCCTTCTTGAAACGTCTACCATAGAATTCTGCTAGGGACATCAGCATGACAGAGTGAGATTTTGCTGGACAGACTTAGGTTACAGTCTAGAACTTTTTTTTTTTTTTTAATTCTAGGACCACACACAGAGAAGTGACCTTAGGACCCAGCCATTTGTCCATGAGAAACCTGAAATATGGGCAGGGAGAAGGAGAAGGGAGGAGGAGAAGAAAACCAGTATCTGTCTATTTACAGTTGGAATAAGAAAGGCCTTTCCTTTCTTATGGCTTTCTTTTTTTTTTTTTTTAATTTTTTTTTCAACGTTTATTTATTTTTGGGACAGAGAGAGACAGAGCACGAACGGGGGAGGGGCAGAGAGAGAGGGAGACACAGAATCGGAAACAGGCTCCAGGCTCTGAGCCATCAGCCCAGAGCCTGACGCGGGGCTCGAACTCACGGACCGCGAGATCGTGACCTGGCTGAAGTCGGACGCTTAACCGACTGCGCCACCCAGGCGCCCCTCCTTTCTTATGGCTTTCAAAGGCCATAGACAACAACCATTAAAACAAAAGCCAACAAATCAACACAAAAACCCAGAAACTTCTATGCTGTCAAAGTTCTACAAAAATTGATAAAACAAGTGGCAAACAAAACAAATTGAAATTATGAGGCTGCAAAGCGTTAATGACCTTTCTGTGTGAAAAGCCCCTATACTTGAATAATGAAATAACATCTAACCCCAAATAGATGAAGAGATATAAGTGGAAAAGGACAAACAGGAGATTCATAAATGGACACATAAAAATGGCCAATAAACATATGAAAAGTATTCAATTTCCCCAATTATCAAATGCGTATAAATTATAACTATATGTTTTATTTTCTGAATATCAAATTACCATTTTCAGGTTATACAGTGTGATGCGGTTGTTTTCAAATATTGATAAGAAGAGTGTAAGGTGGAATCATATTTCTAGAAAATTGTTTGACAATTGTTTATCAAAATTTTAAAGTATGAATTCCATGTGATGCTGTAAGTCTTCTTCTAGGCATTGCAAGGAAATAATTATGACTTTGAAGAATAACATCTCTGCATGGATTCTCCTGCCTTTGTTATTTTTAATAGGAGAAAAGTTAGAAAAAAGAAAAACCCAAATGTCCCCATATTTGGAGATTGGTTGTAAAACAAAACAGGGTGCATTAAAAATGGAATCAATTTTTTTAGTGATATGAGAGAAAGAGTGTGGTGGTGTGGAAAAATGTTGTGGCATGTTTTTTAAAAAGCAGTTACAAACAATAGTCAGAAAGATAAATATATGATTTCACTCATATGTGGAATTTTAGAAACAAAACAGATGAACAAATATTAAAGAATCCATCCTCAGAGCAGCCCAAAGAATAGTACTATATTAAGCCCATTTTACACCTGGGAAACTGAGGCATGCAGCAGATGAATAACTTGCCCAGAATCACACAACTCATAAATGGTAGAAACAGGATTCAGACTTAGACAGCCTGGCTGAAGAGTCGTGGCTCCTTACCTCCCTGTACTGCTTTTAATTTCCAGAAAATCCCATAAAATGTCATGAGAAGAAGCCCATTTATCTGTCAGTTACAATTCCCTAAAAATAACTGATTTATCACGTTATGCACATGCAAAGCAGCCACCCCCCCCCGCCCAGGGGAGTGAGATACATGATAAACATTGGGACAGGGTGAAACAGTAAGAACGAAGAGGATGTCGTGACACTGAGGACACAGAGGAACTGGCAGTGACATGTTACACACAATGCCCTTGAGAATCTAAGACCCTGGATCAGGTTGCTGTGAGGGCAGTGATATCACAGTTTAGATCTAGATTTGTAGTAGAAATCTCCTGTAAGGATTTTGACATTCCTAAGGTTTTTTTCTATGGTCCAATTACCATCTATGGATTGATGATTTATTTAATATTTAAATTAACCCTGGGGGTGCCTAGTTAGCTCAGTCTGTTAAGTGTCCACCTATGGCTCAGGTCATGATCTCATGGTTGGTAAGTTTGAGCCCAGTGTAGGGCTCTGCGCTGACAGCTCAGAGCCTGGAGCCTGTTTCGGATTCTGTGTCTTCCTCTCTCTCTCTCTCTCTGCCCCTCCCCTGCTTATGCTCTCTCTTTCTCAGAAATATGCACATAAACTTTAAAAAAGTGTAAAAAATTAAAAATAAAAATGTATCCTTAAATGAACCCTGAAAGACGATGGTGATCCCCCCATAACCAAGAGTACTCCTTGGTTGGTATGTTTGGGTTGTGAGATGGATAGGTTACTTGTAAGGAAAGAAAGTATATGTACCTGGAGCAGATGCTGTTGGTGTTCAGGTTATATCCCCTTGTTACTTATCATTTCTATAAGAACTTGCAACTTTTTGCCTGTATTTTCTCTGGCAACAGGAGCTGATAGATGGGTGGGTTGGGGGTTACCTTCCCATTAACACACCCTTCCTTGACTGCCTTCCCTTCCTTCTTTCACTTTCCTATTCTTCAACTCACCTTGTGATTATTCCCAAATAAAAGACTTGCACTCATATCTTTGCCTCATTGTTGGCTCCTGAAGGAAGGCAAATCAAGGTGAGGACCATTCAAATCCCCAGGGAATGATCAGGCTTGAATAATTAGAATGGACATCCAGAAAGTTCTCAAAGCTGCCACAGTACCACAATCTTGCCTTCTTAATTGGCTCTCTAGACTTCACAGCACCTTGCTTAAAGGGTCTTTTGGGCTTTCTTTTCACCACTGTGGAGCACATCCCCAGTATAACTGGGCCTGAGAATGGAGCTCTATTTTCTTATACAGCTTTGTGGTTGTAGAGTGACCAATGGAGCTACTCTTTCTTTGTTTTCAAAATGGCAGTGAATATAAGGTTACCAAATAAAATGCAGGGAACCAGTTGCATTTGAATTTCAGATAAACAGCAAGTCATTTGTAACTGGGTCATCCTATATGTTTATTTGCTGTATCTGACAACCTTAGTTGAATAAGAGCTCTTACTTCTAGGGGTCCTTTGAAAATTACCTGAGAATAATGCTAGGAAAAGCTTCCCAAAATGGGGTGCACTTTTTATTTGCTCCTCAGAGTCCCAAAAATGTCTTCCACATATTAAAAAACTTACTTTCAGAAAAGTATACTCCCGGGGTGCCT